GCTTCTGCACTTCACATGAGAAACTGGCACATCTACCCTAAAGTAAATGGTCGCGGTTCATTTTAGAATGGGTTTGTTTATGACAGCTTCAACTTCAACTTCCTCTGTATATGTACGAAAGCAAAATCGGACTCTTATTTTTATGGAGTTCCTTTTTTGTGTTTTACACACAATCTACCCTGTATGTTCCGATATATATTTATGATGAGCCCTGTGCATATGTGTGCGCGTAATTATATAGCTACATCGTTAGTTATTTATTGCATTCCTAGGGAAGAAGAGTGAAAATGTGAAGTTTTGTGTTTGTTTGTGAAGTACGTTCTTGCTGGCTTCTATTAGTTTTCTTTGTAGAGGTTAAGTTATATGCCAGTAAAATGTGCCTAAATATTCGAAAAGAATAAAGATAGAGATTTCACTCATGTGGTGATGGAAATCTTACGATTACAATTGAAGTGACACGTTAAAGTAACAGTAATCAATTCAAAGAAATAAAAAATTGTATCAAACTATGTAGAACGAAATTTCTCCAATCAGCAAATAAATGGCTTTGTCTTTTCGCTCTCATAATTAGACAGCAATATGAAAGAACTTTGGAAATATTTATGAGTGCTAAGTAACACATTTCTTTAAATTACAATAAACAAGTTTTACTATAAAATTTATGCGGTCTTTTCAAATGTCGGAATTAATAGTGGAGTGGCGTTAGAAACAAATAATGTAGTCAATTTAATTTCAGAGGAAATCATGCGCAAGTTTAATTTGTAAGAATTTAGTTTGAAAGTCTTTTCATACGCGAGAAGTCTTAATCTTAGCACTTTCTAGTTCTTGCACGCGGCAATCAACTTGTAACTCGAAATAGTTGCTTTATCCATGGTTGTTGGAATACAGATATTTTGAACTAACATTTATCAAGTACTGTATTCGATTTAAAGTTCCACAATTTTCAACGAGAAATTTAACCCTTCTAGGCCGAAGATCGTCTAAATAATTTTTCAAAATTTCTGTCAGTACCGAAAAGAAAACAACGCGTCTCCATTATCAGGCCCAATAGTTTATTATCTTTTGTGTAAATAATCGCTGTTAATTCGGAGAATTATGCAGAAGTCATAAATACACTCTGTAATCTAAACGCTGAGTTACAGAATGTTACATCACTTGATTCTTATTCTTACCATTGCGCTTCAAATGGTTAAACATATTCAAATTGAAGGTGAATTTCCTTTACGCCGTGGCAAGTCACGTGTATTTTCAGAGATGAAGCCCCTAAGTTGGGATCAAGAACATGTTAATGTGTTGTTTGGTCTGGAGTGGGGAGGTGGTAGATTAATGATTAATGAGTAAAGTGGGAAAACCTAAGAACTCTGATAAATGCCTGCTACAATGTCATTTCATAAACCACAAATCTCACTTTAAGCTACTAAAGTTTTAACCCGTGTCTCCTTGGTAAGAACCGCGTGATCTAGTTGCTACTGTAGTACATATCTCAAAAAATTCGGTTAAAACTATTCATTTTTAAATAGATATGTTTATGAATAAATAAGACCTAAAATCATGAAATTGATTGTCTTGCTTGCTTACTTAAGATGCGAATTTATAGTTGGTTATTTCTCTTGTGTTATCCCACGCAAGAGTTAAGAAACTACTACTTAGTTACAGATTTCTTAGTCTGGGACTAAGTTGTAAGACCTTTTCCGTTATAGAAGCAAATGCCATCACGGTTTTGAACCAAAGTTGGTTTGAAGAAGATACGAGTCCCTTTATGTTAAAAGCGATGGTCTTCGCGTTGGTCAGAAGAATAGATTGGATGGCTATTCAGCTACAGGCCTTTTGAAATAGCAGCAGCAGCAGCGGCCATGTTGGGAGATGCACATTTGGTTGCCTTACTCGCAAGGGGCCTTTAAATTCATCTTCTCTGTTTGCCATCCCCCCATTCTCTTCTCCAACGACCCCATTGTGTTACAGTGGAAAGAAGGGTGAGTGTGATTCAAGGTTTTCCCTAGGGGATGCTCTAGAAAGGACGGCGGGACGAAGGTTTCCTATTGAGAAAAGTGATTTACAGAACTGCAGGCTTGGTGTAAGGTTAAGGGAGATAGGAGGTAACGTATAGGAATCGCGTAGACCCCTTGCAATGTTTTCTATTGTTTATTGTCGCTGCGAGCTTTTCCATGGTCTTTGCTGGAACCAATACCGTCAACTCCCAACACGGAAGGAAAGGTGTTTCTGAATGGGGAAACCTGTAGTGGAATACTGAAGAAACAAAAATCTGTTACATCTAACTCTAGGAAATTTCAAGATCATTTTTTGTTTCTTCCACAGAGGTACATATATGTAAGATCTTTTTTCTAGAATTTAAAACAACAGAGGAAATTCAAGAAACTGAGGATTAGTTTACTTTTATGAAGATGGGTTTTTTTCTGGGTTGTGACGCAGTAGAGATTCGTGAGTAAATACAAACATTTCGGAGAATCACAGTTTTTCACAACCCAGAATAACTACACCTCATCCCTACCACCGTGAATTATTCAAATATCACTCTTTAACGGAATCAGCTAAATAAGTTTGTTACGTAGGCTACTTTAAACATATTTTATTACATAAGATGAAGACTTTAAATTACCAGTGACTGTTTGACGAAAGCAAAAAATCTTATGTAAACTATGGAATTAACTCCTTCAGTACCAAGAACGAAGTGATTTGTAAAGAAATACATTTGATTTCTATTCAGAAGACCTCGTGATAAGATAAATGAAAATAAGTTGTTGTGCCATTTGATGACAAAATCAACAATTTGTAGCCCTTCAGTTTGAGCAAAACACAAGATGGCGATGGTTTTCTGAAGCCACCTCGGCGCTGAAAGGGAGAACTACTAAATTCCCAGTGATAATTTATAAATTTATAAATAGCTTCAAGAGGATTCACATTTAACATCACTTAATAGATTAACGCATAAAGCGACTGTTAATAAGAAATGCAATTGAGTTCAAAAAATAGCTTTAAATTTCTTCGTTCTTTACTTCCACACTGTACTTACTTATGCAGAAAGTTTTTTATCTAATTAGCATAAATTTCTACTTATAACTTATATATAACCTAATTCTGAACTAGGCCTAGTAGTTTATTTTCTTACATTAACAAAGATTTTTAATCTTCGAGTTAGTCGAACAGGCCAACTGCTTAATACCCGAATGTGGATTCTTTCAGTTGCCGGGATGTTCAGAGCTGTTAGCCGAGGAAACAGCCAGGAAAATCCCTCACTCTGTTCTTAGACAAGTTCATTTGTTGAGGATTAATCATTGGAAAACTTTTATATTCTACGTCTCATATTTCTTACTTATTTTCATAACATTAAATACAATTAATAAAACTAAGCTCCACTTACCAACCAGTGCGACTGTACCGTACTGAAGGCTTGATATGAGCTCTTGAAACTGGACATTTAGGCTTGTATCGGCGAAAGTATTCCTGAAAAGAAATTACAAAGAAAGGAGGTGATGCGTATTAAATATGGAAGCCTATAAATTTCTTAAATACGGGATCAATTAAATATTTTTTGTTTCAGGATATAAAGCACGTCTTCTTGTTTACATAGTGTTAAAAGGAAGATATAATTTGTCTGTCGATTTTGGATTTGCAGGTAGTAACGCTTTGCGGGTAGATACCAACGTTTTGGCTTCAGAAAGGACGACAGTATGTCCCTCTGATATGTTGGTATCTACATACAGTCCCACGCGACGTTCAAACCCAGAAGGCCTCCATTGACACATCTTCGTGTGAATCTCCAAATCATATTATTTGTCTTAATATTTGTATTCCCCACCCATTAGTGTTTGTTATTAGTTTTTGTTGGTGGTTAACAACTTAATAAAGGAACAGTGGAATCAAGGAAATTATAACATTTAAAATATTTCATTTTGTCCATTTTTTGTGCTATTAAATTTTTCTGGTTTTATATTGTTTATTTGTTTTCACTTAGTTCTAATATTTTATCTCATGTCATCTATATATTGTACCATAGTTATTTACTGCTGTTTTTGTGCCTGGCTGTAATTGGCCTTGTTTGGCTGTTGTCATGAACAATATAATAAATTAATTGAATTTAAAAATCCGAAGCTAAGTAAATTTGAAAATAGATATTTAAAAATCAGTTACTGGCTTACAGAAAACACAACGTGTCTCCATTACAACGATTAACTAGTTGATTCCGCTTAGATAAATAATCGCTTTTGTTCTAAGAATCATACCAAACCCGTAAATAAATTCTGTGTTAAAAATCTAATTTACTGAATATTAAAGTAGGTGACACATACAGATACCAGAAGCTGACTAGTAAGCGTGATACTAGAGAACTCGTCAGTATGTTAGTTACAACGTTAATGTCAAACGGTGCTCTTAATGTGCAAAGCGATTCAATGATCGTAATTTTCGAACACGTTGTTTATTACATCTCTTCCTGCTATATGTAATTTGTCATCACAAAAATAATGCTAATTTATTTAGTTATTACCACACAACCTATTGTGTTAATTCACATAAATAAATATGCGGGAATTAATACCTAAAAATAAACATGATCAAAATTCAAACATAAATTAATTAAATTTATACATGTCCCTTGATATGCTTACTCATGCTGTTGAAAGTAATGCTGAGTGTTAGTGGAATTACACATTCCAAGCCTTTATACATTTTAATAGTGCCTCAGCTTGAATTCAGAAGATATTTGTGTAGACGTTCAGTTGTTTAAACGACAAACTGAACGTCAGCATGCATTAAACCAAACAAACGGCAACAAATTTTCAGTATAAGGAAATTGTTACATAAAAACTGGGTAAAAATGTAGTCAGGCCTGCATTTGGGTCCTGGTATTTGTAACACTGGTTATAAGTTTAAGTGTTTCGTATTATGAAAAAAATTAATTATCCAGCATCGACCAAAGTATTACATCAACAGTTTGGAAGCAGGCGTTTTTATATTTAAATCACACAAAACAACGAAAACAAAATTGAAAGGGATCTGATTATGTTTTATATTTAGACGCCCAATTTACCTCTCACTCTGTTTTAAACATATTAATCATAACAGGCTGCGACTGTTACCAAATATTTTACTTGAATGACGCCTGCGTTTTTAACGGAGTCATTAGAATTTTAGAATTGCCTATTTTAGAAGAAGTGTACCGAAAGTTTCGAGTATTCGTTCACAACTGATTATTCATCTACATACTATTGCATATATAAAGTGAACATGACTACAACACAACCCTCAAATTGTCAATAATTTCCAAACAATCCTGAAGACTAAAAGTTAAATCCTGCTTTTTTATACACGTTATTTTATAAAGCCATTCTGTAACACCAAACACTTTGTGATCAGCAAAAAGGGCAGCTCGCTTTCCGACGGGTTAAAATAGAAGAAGCAAATTGTGTAAATGACTTACCCTTTGTTGTGTAGTTGTTTTGCGGTGATTTCCTAGGGAGAGGAGAAGAAAATAAAAATATTGATTTCTGTACCTACTATTAATCAAGTAAGCTTCAACTTAAGACAAAGAAACTGAAATATAAACAAAGAAATGCTACAGAGACGCAAAGAAACACGAACAAAAAGAAAGAAAGCAAAGCAAAGAAAGTATTGCGTGGGTTCAAAAAACAAGAATTCTCTGCTCGTTGACTTGACTTCTCGTATGGTGGCGTCCTGTCCGAGCTCCATGTTTCTGCATCAGCGACGGCGGGTTGCGGCGACGGGCGGGATTATGTTGGCAGCAACGTCCGTCGCGGCGCTGAGGCATGCGAGGAGTGACCCACACTGTGTATTTCCTACAGTAGCTTGCTGGCAACGTTCTGCCATACGAGGACGCCGACAGAAACGACGCCGACGCCACCGTCGCGAATAGTTGCGGGAGAGTGGAGGGTGCTGACACCAGCGGGAGGCAGGGAGGGGGTATCATGTGGTTATACCGCTCTCTTTCACACTTACGTGAACTCAATCTCTGTCTCTTTCACTCGCCGAGAACACTGCCCTGACTGGGCACGCAAAGTTGTATATTGTAGGAAACTTCTGCGAGATGCTGAACAACGGTCCTGGAGGGAGAGGGGAGGGTTCTCTCTACATAGAAGGGGAGGGGCTACAGATAAAATGTGGAAGCTTACAGGGGGGCTGGGTCTGTATGGCGATGCAGATACTAGTTTATGAGATTTCTAGAGGGAGAAAGAGAACTCGAATAAGAATGTGAGAGGAAATGAGATAAGAGTATGGAGTATAATATGTATA